ATTCTTCTTTATGAACGTTTATCTGAGGATTTACTTTTGTCTCAAGACAAAATACGAGTAATGGATGTGATAGACCAATCAAGATTTCTTTCTAGTCTTGCTCTTGTTTTAAATGGAAGTGCGACATGTACAGCTGTTTATGTTGATCTATCTGATAAAATTGTATTTATTGCTCGAAATGAACCAATCACAACAAATGATGAACGATATTTCGATCGATTTTTTCGTCAAATTCGAAATTATGCCGGTTTAGCTAGTTTATGTTCAATCAACGACCAAACAATAAAAGAAGCTAAAGATCAATTGGATTCTTTTATATTTGAATATAATTCGAAGAAAATGATCAATTATTTTATTGGTCGACATTCTACAATCATTGATGGATTAAGAAAAATGGTTCAATGGAATACAAATGACAAATGTCATTTTGTTGAAGAACTTCGTTCAAATAAAGAATTTTACATAGATGATCCATTAATGACCGAAAAAGTCTATTTAATATCCAAAAATTACACCGAAGAAGATTATATGGATTTTTTATTGAAAAAAGTCGATGAATTCTTAAAAGCTCGTGATCAACTATTTGCAAATCAAGTCAATCCATCTGATCATCAGCTCATCTTAGCAGCACGACTTGCAATGATACTTTATCAATCACGTTTATTTCAATTTATACTTAATCATTCGATAGGAACAGCTGATAAAGGTGTTTATTATTTCGAAAAGGCATCAGCTCATATACGGGCAAAAAATCTTCTTTTAAAATGTTTACTTAATAATAAACAACGTTTTAATCAAATATATAAAAATATCTCATGGAAACTCGTTCCACCAATTCAACAAACACATCAATTAAGTATTACTCCACGAGAAGCATTTGAAAACATTTTCAAAAATCTACCTGATTCATCAAATGAAATTATCTCGAATATTCTTCAACAGACTACATGTGATTCTTTTTATAAACAATACTTGGAAAAATTGAAAACAATTGACGAAACACATGTTTATGTTGGTCATTTACATGCTGAAATTTTACTTATCGATTATTTATTAAATAACAATATCAAGGAGGACGATCATTTGAATCAAGTTGAGATAGGCATTTCGAAAATGCCTTGTTTACCATGTTCTTATTATATTGCTGCATTAAATAAAACACATCATCGTTGTTTTTATCAATCTGATGTAACACATGGCAAACTTTATGGTAAATGGACATATAGATTGAAAGAAGATCCATCTATCATTAAAGAAATTAATGACAAATTAATTGAAAAACTTCAATATTTAATTCAAAAAATATTAGTCGAAAGTGATCGTTGTGGTCGTCCAAGAAAAAGTGGCGATAGCGACATAGTGTCTACTTCAATGGAAGGTGATGAACTTGAAGAACAAGAATATCGTGAAGTTGATCCTTAACAAGATCTTGGTATGTTTTCTTAGATTTCCATAAAATTCAATCTATTCTTTTGTATTTTTAGAGTGGCTGTTATTGTTTGTGGACAATTTCAAATTTTATTAACATTTTTTTTTGTTAAGCTCTTGATTATGTTCTTTTGTTGTTTTCTATTGATTATTAAAAGAACTTCATTGAAATAATTGTTTGTGTTCATCGTTTTGTTGTTTACTCTAGTGAAATAAATTGTTGAGAGAATATTGGTGAAGAAGTTGTTTCCTCAGAAATGATCCACACAATATATTAATGTAGACAATTTTATGATATGATAGATTGTAAGAAAGCATTGTGTGTATCCATTTGTTTTTTTTCCTGATCAAAGAAGTGATAACATCTTTGCTATGAATATTGAAAGATAGTGGCATACTCATGCGACATGATAAACGTCTTCTAACTTAAATATCTCTCGTGCACAATGATAAGAGATTACATCAATATCTATCGTCATCGAATGTTTTTATAATGACAAATGTACGAAACAAGAAAAATTTACAGGATATTAACTGTTTATTATACAGAAAAATCTATATGAAAGATTCTCATTAATTCAATCAGAATTTCTTTCGGAAATGATCAAATGAATTGTTAAAGAGAAATATATCTAGTTGAACTTATTTTAGTCTATTCTTCAATTAGAGAAGCTCTGCTTAATAAAATCAGCTAAAATAGAACAAATTTATGTTTTTATTTCTCAATATTTTTTTCTGATCAACAGACATTTGTTATTATAGGAAAGATGACTAATTATTCTTCAATTGTTTTTCAAGATTATTAATAAAAGTTTCTTATTGAACATTTTCATAGATTTCACTTAGAAAAAAATGTCTCGAAAGACGTATTCCGATCGGCTTCCATTACAACTGCTTGTCATTAGTAAAGAATTTAATGATATTTGTTAAAAGAACATATTCTTAAAAAAAATTGATTATCTTTTTGATATATCGAATTAGATTTTTGATCTAAATTCGAAGTAAAAAGATAAAATAATATATATGAGATATAATCTATGTTAAATTCTACTGAAATATTGATAAAGATTCAAATTTAAAATGAATCTTTTTATGAATATTGAATATATTCATCAATCCTTCTGATTGAATCCAATATCTTCTTCAATTAAATAAAACGATCTTTTTCTTCACTTATAGAACAAATTACTGATGAAAATTATTTATTTCTCATTCTTATTTCAAAACAAAGAGCTTTTAATTAATGAAATTATTCTTTATTGATAATTATTTAGATGAAAATAATAAGTAAATATTGAAAACTGTTTCAGCTTTTAGTTGATCATCGATGGGTCATATTGAAAAAAGTTCTGTGCATATTCGCAAGAAAAACAGCAGATGTCTTTCGATAATCAATGCGATAAATATATCGTAAAATTGTATTTAGGGCTGAGAAATGATCTCTGAATAGTTCATATATTCTTAAAGCTTGTTTTTTGTTCCAATATGATTTCATAAGATTCTTCTCTATTAAGTATCTAATTACTTTTATTTTTAATGCGGTGCGAAGCACAGCATTTATGTATTCCTTTGCGAGTTTTCTTTTTACTTACTTTCTTTACGTACGCATCAAAAGTAGTCGTTTTGTGTCGCGATGATCTCAAGAACGGAAAATCAGAAAAAATCCGTTGAAACGCGAAACGAAAGAATCGAAAACAAATCCTAGAAATTCGTTTTCCGATCTTTTCTACGAGGTTCCATTTATTTACAGAGAGTCCGACAAAAATGCAAATTTTTGTGGACTTTGTTTTTTTTCATCGTGAATCAGTTGTCTACAGGTTACTTGAGAATTTCTTTTTTTCCTATTTGTACTTTGAAATGTAATGGCAGACAATAGAAAACCTTTATTTCTGAGGACACGGATCTATAATAAATTTCAACAAGAGCTTACACTAGATCAATCTTTTGTAAGTTTTGAAAAGAATAAATTTGAATTTTTTTTGTTTTTTTGTTACAAAAATAATCAATAAATAATTTCATTTCGATTTGTTTTTCCTTTTTTAGTCTTTAATCAATCCGGCTGTTGCATCAAATGATATTGATGATAATGACATAGATCAACAACATCAAGCAGAAGTTTTTTATGAAACTATAAAGCTTGCTAATGAACCATCACCTGAAATTATGTCTTCAATTGATATGAGACCACTAGAAGAAATCGATGCCGATACTGCTTTTGCTTTTCAACTTTAAGAAGAAGAAGAAGATGCAAAATATAATATTTCACCATTTCTAAAATATGAACAAAATTCAAACGATGAAACAGCTTCAAATACTATTCTCAATTTTGATAATCGTCTTATAGTTAGTGATGCAGAATTAGCAGCACATTTACAAGCAGAAGAAAATCAAAAACAACAGAGACGTAATCAACGACGAATACCACATTCAACAACAAATCGAAATCGTCAATCTAATGAATCTGAGACTATACCTATTCCACCTTTTCTTAATCCTACAAATCATCATCCTTCATCTGGTGGAAATAATAATCGTGTTGACAATAGTGTTGCATCTTTAATTCGAGCTCTTGCCTCTAGTGGTGTATCATCTCGTGGTTCTCATCATTTTCGTGGTCAGGGAAATAGAAATATTGAAAATACTGAAGGAGATTTTGGCCCAGATGATTATAAAGTAAATTATTATGGTTTAAAATTATATTTTTATCAAGATTTATACTTTTTTATTTTTAGAATTCAGTTGAACTAGATGAGTCAATCAGGAAAAAAGCTTTATCTAATAATCAAATTAATAGATTACCAACTGAAATATTTCGTCGTTTACCAAATACAAGTGCTGAAGAAAATCAATGCAGTATTTGTTGGGATGATTTTGAATCAAATCAAACATTACGTCGATTACCATGTGTTCATCGATATCATCAAATTTGTATAGATAATTGGTTAAAAGTAAGTCAATCTCTATTTGTATATCATTTCAAAAATCTATTTGAGTTTGTTTTTTTTGTTTTCGTTTAAACTTATAGACTAATAATTTGTGTCCCGTTTGTCGGAACGCCATCAATTAAATAATCAATAAATGATTGAATATATTGTTCTCCATGATAATAAACTTTCACATGGTGAATTGCTTTCTGTTTTTTTGTCTCAATATACAATTTATATTGATAATATAATTATACTCTTCAATAAAAATGTGATATTTTTACTCCTGTAAATAGTCTATTGTCATTATTCATATCATTTCTTTTTTTTAATACTAAGATAAAAAATAATCATGATTATAATTTTTATATATATCCACTTTTAAAATAGTTCATCGATATACAGTATGTAAAAAAATTATTTGGACACTTCGTTATATATTCCTTGTAAAGCAATT